ATATATATATATATATTGCCTTATAGCCTGAGTGCTTACCAGAGTGAGACAGAGAGAGAGGGAGAACTCACTCCCCAATGGGGCATGGTCACACAGGCAATCCTTTTTCTTCTATTTCTCCACTCTGTTGGGATTTGGGAAATGTATGCATATGTTCCTGGTGTGTTTTTCAAGCCACCAGTGCCAAGATTTGAACTGCAGTTGGCTAGGTAGGATTTGTCTCCCTTAAGCACTAGGCTATTAGGGCTGGGCCAACACTATGGCTTTTAAGAATGTATTATAAATTAAATTTATCTCTGATTTTTATACTGATCTTAGTTACAGCTCTGTAGCAGTTTTCTATTCTGATTCATAGGAGTAACTCTCCATATTACCACTTACCGAGTATCTCACATAAGCCAAGACATATTCTGGGCTCTCTCTGCATATGTTAGATCACTTAATTTTCACCCCAAACCCAGCAGGAGCATATAGCACAGCACAGTCTCACAAATAAGGAAACAGGAAGAATAATATCCAGGATCAAGTGTTGAAAAGGGCCAAAGTGGCGTGGCCAGGTGGTGTGAAGGTTAAGGTGCTGGATTCCTACATGGCCAAGGACTACAGTTTGAGCCCTGGGAAATGTTAAAAAGGGCCAAAGTCAAAGTTTGAGTTCAGGTCTGCATGGCAAGCCCTTGTCCTTATCTCCAAAAAGAGAATCATTGCTCGTGGACTGTAGAACAATCATGCTCACCCAGGAAGCCTAAAAGCAGATCACCCTTGTATCCTAAAAATGACTACATAAGCATATGAAGTTCCCAGCCTGGCCTGTGGCTGGTCCCGGTATGTTCCCTGTGGCTGCCGTTACAAGTGGCTAACATTGGGTGGCTTCAAAGAATGGAAATCTATTTTCCCACAGTTCCAGAGGCAATAAGCCCCAAACCAAGGAGTGGATGCTCCCTTACAGCCTCAAAGGGAGCATCCCGCCCTGCCTCTTCCCTTCCTCACCACCCTAAAGGGGTCCTCCCTGCCCTGCCTCTTCCAGCTTCTGGTAGCCCCAGGCATCCCTTGGCTTGTGGCAGCATCATTCGGAACTCTGCCTCTTTTTCCCCTTGTCTTTTCCTCTGTGTCTATCTCCTCTTCTGTTCCATCTAAGGACACTTCCCACTGATTTGGGAGCCCATCCAGGTAACCTGGGATAATATTTAACATAATTATATATGCAAAGACTTATTTTTCAAATAAGGTAGCATTCACAGGTTCAGGTTTTAGAAAGCAGGTGTTATCTTCTGGGAGACACCATCCAGCCCCCTACACTACCTAGCACTTGTGCACCAAAAAACAGCATTAGATGGCCTAAAGCAGAGGTGCTTTTCTTCCCAACATTTCTGCCTTTGAGCAGGATGACTGGCAAGATGTGTCCTGCATGAGTGCCTTGAAGCACCCCCCCCCACCCCAAGGAAGGTTCCTCCATTGGCTCTGAGAGCAGCACAGAAAGCAGAGGCTGGATGGACTGGGGCTGTATTGACTGAGAAAAGAGCAGTCCTCCTCAGCTTCAGCAGCCATGGTAACCCAGGTCTCCTTTCTTCCCTCCCAGCTAGCCTCGTTCACCATAAGGGACCCTATCCTGCAAGACTCAGTACGAAAGTCTTTTTTTTTTAATCAGAGTTTTGGGGTGTCAAGAGCATCTTTGTATCAACCTGTTGTTGACCACTGCAGTCAGAGGCAAAAAGGCATCAAATATCTGACCACTCTTCCCACTGTGTTCTCAGATACGAACCACTGACATGTCGTCAGCAATAGACCTTTGGTCACACCTGAGCTAAAACCAGACAGTGGGATAAATTGGATGCGATGGTGTCAGGTTAATGAAAAATCCTTGGCATGGACCTGGTCTGGTTGAAGAAGGCTGGTCAAATGCCTGATCCGTTCACTCTGTCAAACCCCCAGTACGGGGCTGCAGCAAGCCTAGGCAGAAGACGACAGCTAATCTCCTAGCTGGCTCATTTGCACTTCAGATGATCATGATTCCCACCCTTTTAGACGTTGTCAGTACTGAAATCAATGTGATATTTAAAAATTCCAGAGCGGTCTGTCATTTGGCAGTATGAGTCTTTAAAGCATTAGAAGCTCTGGAAGAACTGGCAAACGATGAGAAAGCAGAACATGAGTGGAGAAGCACGGGCCATGCTTATTGCTGGCTTCTGGCCCTGTAGCATGCTGCCTTATTGAGAACACCTGGCCAGAGACTGGCTTCAACATGAAGCACTCCGTCCCATCTGAGGCACATGACAAGGGGCAGTGGCATGACCCAGACGGTCCTTTACAAGCCTTCAGTCCTCACTGGGAATTGGAGACATTCCTTTGTGTTCTCTCTTTGACTGGAATTCTTCTCTTGTCATCAGATTCAATAAAGAACTCAGAGCCGGGCATTCCTTAGAGCTCTGTGGGCCTGACACTGTCTCAGTAACTGCTTTCATTGTGGAGGTGAGGGTGCAGCATCGCAGCCGAGGAACAGTCTAACCTCTTTGGAGTTAAAACGCACACACTACAAAGGATGTGCGTTTTGAAATGTACTGAACCTTGCTCTCAACTGCTCCACTCCTGGGATGGGGCAGTGCCTAGCAGGGCACTGCTAATGAGTGAGAGAGAGCTGAGCAGAAAAATGGAGAGCAGGGAACAGGGAAGGAAGGAAATTAGAAATCGCATTTCATTAATCTACAAAGACATGAATCTGCAGACTTCATCGCACCAACAGGAAGAAGAATGATTAAAAAGGCTTAAGCCACCACATGGCTCTGCCACAAAGTCCTGAAATAATGGAAAATATAATTGATAGAAGCAAAATCAAATGCCGCCTGTGTGCCTACATGGTACCAGCTTCGCAAAACATTCCTATTGACCCAACACTGACGAATCCAACGGTGCCCATACCTAACTCAGCCACAGGAGCCATAAGCAAGTATTTTAAAGAATTTTGCAGGCAGATGTTTAGCTAACTTCGAAAAGTAATAATGCTTTTTGCTATTAGGAAATTTTCTTGGTAGATAGGAATTGTGTTTTTGTTTTTTAAATTTTATATAGTGCAAAACCATAAAATGCATCTGGCCTGTAACAAGAACAAAAAACATGGGTGTTCGCATATATTTTAACAGGGAGATGGAAACAAGTATTTCTACATTTTTTTTTTGCAAAGATGGAAACACGCTTGAGAAATATATGAATAGTCTGAATTTCTCCAAAGTAAAATAATATTAAAGTTAATAAGTGACACAGAATAAGAATATGCTCATACAAGAGGTTTCATGGTGAGCATGCTACTTAAAGAGGGAAGGGGCTGGGGATGGCAGTTTACCAGGACTGTTTATGACTGAGCACCTCTACATCCACCACCATGTCATCCTCAAAACAGCCTAGAGGGAGATGTCACCATTTACAAATAGAAAGGAATGGGGCCTCAAAGAGGTAAAGTAACTTGCCTAGGGTCACACAGCATCTCTGTGGCAGAAGGGGATTTGAACCCATGCCTGTCTGACATGAAATATTTTCAAATTCATCATTGGCTCAATCAACCTTTACAAACTCAAGAAAATAAGTGATGAACATTGTGCCTGGGACCCTGCAGTTCAGTGCAGGGGGCCCTTAGGGAGTATGACAGCCTCATCTCTTTTAGATTAGGAGCCCTGGGTGGGAAACAGCCCTGAGACAGGAATCAAAGTGCTTATCCTGACATGTGGGCCCTGGGGACCTCTGACTGCTTGGATTCCCTGAAGTCTCTCCTGGAAGCCTCTCCAGTCCTGTGTGGATGCCAGGAACAATGCCTCAGATTCCTCACACTGGGCATAGTCACCTGTCACTACATGTCATGGGTGTGACTGGAAGGCCTGGACTGATGACCCCTGATGCACAGCAGATATATTTGAAACAGTCTTCATCACATGGCGACTCTCAGAACACACCTGTGACTCAGAGGCACTTCACGCATGAGCTTGAGATTGGCTCTGTGGGTTTATGTTCCCCAAATCTGAACGGATCTGGGTAAAAAGCCCTAGCTCCAGCAGCAGCACACACTACTTCTTCAACGGGTTTTCTTTTTTGATCCAATGTTGCCACTAAGTCCAATTTTACCCATCTCTAACCCTGTAAGATCTAAGTAGTTCAGTGGCTAAGAGTAGGCCATGCATTCAGACAGATCCTACCTCTACCTCATCCTTGCTCCGCAGATCCCTTCCAGCTTCCAAGGCCTGGCCAACTCATTTATAAGCCAGGGAGCAAACCACACCCACCTCAAATACTGTTAAGGAGTAAAGCAGAGACTACATAAAGTGCTCAGCAAAGCACCGGCACTGTTAAGTGCTCACCTACAAGGACTATTATTAACAATGACATTGACCATGAAGATAAAGGAGCCATGGGAGGAGACACCGGTAAGGTTCCTTCTGGGATGTCAGTCCATTATCATTTGGCTCCACGATGACAAGCAGGACTGATCAAAGACTTACTGCCAGCAACAGTATGCCAGGAAGCTCCATTGACCGTCCCCTCTTCTTTCTGGAAGTCTTCTGTATGGCACACTCTCCTCCTGGCATCTGTCATGAGGCGGTGAGTGGAAGCATAGGAGTAGGCCAGCCAGCGGAACACGTGGTCGTCTGGTGTGGGGGTGTGCTCCTGGGTCTTCCACAGGGACCGTACCATGTCATAGGGGTATGCAACCACCAGCTCACCCCCCTGCAAGTTGCCACCCAGCACAAAAGGAATTTTTTCCATCCAGGCTATGACTGCTCTGGTCTCCATGGCCACCTGTGGGCATTCAAAAGTGACAAAACACAAAGAGAAACACTTTATCTCACTATCTTTAAAAATAGGGGCATATTCGAAAAAGCAGTAATTGCATGGAATAGTTTTAGCAAAATTTGGAATCTAAAAATCTGTCCCAGTAAAATAGGATTTTGTGGAAGTAATGAATTAAAAAGGAAAGAGACAGGGAGAGAAAGACGAGGAGTATCATTCATAAGACTATTCCAGTTAATGAAAGATTAGAGGAGCATCATTTTTGCAACACTAGTGAAGGAATGGGTCAGGGCTATTCATCAATGGCTACAACCAGCATAAGAAAAAAGACACAACCAAATACAGTGAGCCTCCCGATGGAAGAACACACTAACACGTGCCTAAAAAATTAATTAGTTAATTAAGTAAATAAGCCTGACTTTGACCAAGCCTCTTATCCAGGGGTCTGCAGACATTTTTTTCTGTAAAAGACCAGAGAGGAAATATTTTAGGCCTTGTGGACCAGGCAGTCTCTGTGATAACTACCCGGCTCTGCTGTTGCAGCGAGGAAGCACTGTGGACAAAACACAGTGTGTCTACGTTCCAACAGAATACTATTTACAAGAAAGAGGGTCTTGATGAGATTTGGCCCTGGGCTGCAATTTGCCAATGCCTGCTCTGTCTAGTTTAGGTTAGCCTCAATCTCACAGCCGTTTATAGGAAACAGAAAGGAAGAGCTACATGATATCATGTGAATGCCATCGACAGTACCGGGACTACGGAATGATACAAGACCATCAAAGGTGTTCATAGCCTGGTTGTTACAAGATACACAAGACCCACAGCAAAACTGGAGGAAAAAAAGAGGGAAAGTGACAGAGGAAAACGTATAGATAAAAAGAGCCTTAGAAATATATGTAAACTAAGCAAAATGAATGAGCTTTATTTCAGTCTCTTTTTTTGTTATTGTTATCTTTTTTCCTCTTAGTTTATTTTTTCTTATTTTTTACATTCAATCACTGTAACCCTCCACACCAGAGACAGTTTAGGAGCAGGATTGGAAAGGGGGGTCAGGGGAAGGAAATCAAAGGGGAAAAAAAAAGAAAAATATTTCAATCTTTTGATTTAAATAAACTGGAGAGAGAGAAAATGATACTGGGGGAAACATGAACACTGTATATTTTATAATATTAAAAAATCATTTATCTTAATATAATAATGGCAATACTTCATCATTTTAAGAGTCCCTATTTTTTAGATTTCTACTGAAATATTTATGAATGGCATGATCCAATGTCTGAGAGTCACTTCAATAATCTGAAGGAGGAGGAGAAAGTGAGTGAAGGGGAAGATGAAACACAAATTAATGAGTGTTAAAGCTGAGATGGGCCTGTGGGGATCCCTTATAACTTTGTCTTGAATTCTGTATGTTTGATATTGTTATAGAATAAAAAGGTTAAAAAAAAAAAGAAAAATGACAATGCTGAAAGCTAAAATTGGAAGGTTTGGTACGTTTCAATATTGAAAGTGAATTAAATATCTGTCCTACATTACTAATCCCCATGAAGATAATTTTAGTAAGACAGTAAAATTCATGATGACAAACATTAGAAATCATGTAACTGTGCAGTATAGGAAACTGGTTAAGGAGTGAAATGGACTTGATGGGATTAGGTTTTGTTTTTAAAACACATCAGGGCCCCTGATTTAGAAAAACCATGAAATTTGGTTCACTGCAGAATGCTGTCGTTAGTCTGTGCTTGCTATGCTTTCTCTTACAGATTTCAATACAAGAAACACCCGTGAACTCACCGCCCAGCGTAGCACTTTCCTGATACCTCTGGGATTCCACCTGTCCTGCTCTCCACCTTCCTATTGTAACCACTACATCCTAAATGGCCTGATGCTCATTCTCCTCATTTTTATCCCACATGTATGCCTAAAAATACATAAAGACATTAAGGAGAAAAATAGATAGGCAAGACATTTATAGGACACAGAAATGGATTATTATCTGTTGATAACATGTATAGTATTTCCAACTGAACTGGTGAGGAATGTGTTCATGTTGGAACATTCACTTTATAAGCTAAGTGATGTATAGTGATTTAATGTATAAAATAAATGAAAATGAAATAAAAATAATACATAATTTGGTTTTACTTTTTTTATTTAAAAAATGCAAGGACATCATACTGATTATTGTCTTCTGTAATTTGCTTTTATTTTCCTCACTTATTTTCGGGTTTCTAAAATTCATCCTGTTGTTCTATAAATCTGTCATTCAGGCCTTTTCACTATAACATGAAGATCTCATTTACTTGTATCTATTCTAGGTCATTTTCAGTATTTTGTTCTAATGAAGTGTTGCTCTGAACTTTCTGGTACTGTCTTCTGGTACACATACACTAAAAATGATCTTACATATATTACCAGAAATGGAACTGCAGAGTCATAGGATATATAAATATTCCACTTCACAAGGTAGTCAGATTATTTTCCAAAGTGGGACCAACTTACACTCACCTACAATGGCAGTATAAGAGAGTCGCTGTCCCAGATCCTCTCCAAAACTTGAGTATTGTTGGACCTCTTAACTTTGCCAATACATGGGTATAAAATGTTATGCTTCTGTAGCCCCCATCTGCATCCTCAGTATAGTGAGTAAGAACAGCTTCTCACATTTATTAATCATGTATTTCTTCCTCCATGAACTGCCTCTTCATACCCTTTGTCCATTTTTCTTCTGCATTATTTACATTTTTCCTGTTTGTTCTTTAGTATTTTATAAATTGTATCTCTCAGTTAAATAATTTGCAAATAACTTCTCCCAGTTTTTAGTTTTTCATTATAGTTTTTAAATATTTTTTGATGAATGAGTTTTCTTATTTCTTTTTTTAATTGGCAGAAGGCATGTGCACTAGCCAGAAGGAGACAAGAGAGACAGGACATAATATCCCCCCAAGGGAGGGGGCATAGTCATATTATAATCTCTTCTCTATTTCTCTATCCCTGTGAGGTTTTGATTACTCATGCTTAGCATGATTTTCATGATCCAGGGCTGGGATCTGAACCCTGTCAACCCCGTGGAATCCAGTTCCCTTAACTAAGCCATGAGGTTAGTCCCAGGCTTTCTTATTCCAATATAGCTAAATATAATAATCTTCTATGATTAATGCCATATATTTGAAAGTTTTACTAAGGGATTTTATTGTGAATGATTATTAAATTTGATCAATTTTTACCTATCAAAAATTAATTCATATTGTTTCTTTGTCTATTGTTTCACTGATTTCTTCTACAAGTTTTAATCATAGTTTTTCTTCTTTCTTTGCATTTCTTCTGTTATTTTTCTAATTAATTAGTTTAACTTCTTTAATTAATTTGCAACCTTTCTTCTTTTGCAATATAATTACTTAAAGGTATAAATTTTTCCAAAGCACTATTTTTTCTGGATTCCACAATTTTGATAGGTAATATTTTCATTTCATTAGCATTCCATGCTAATGAATTTTTAATTGTATGTTTTTTCTTTGACCCATTCTTTTGAAGTTTTTAAGAAAATTTTCTAAATGCATAATGATGGTTTCATTAATTAATCTTATTGCTATCTTCTAGTTTAATTGTATGATGGCAATGATCTCTTTGATTCCTAGTCTCTAAAATTTGTCAAGAGTTCTTTTAATGTCTAGTTCATAATCAACTTTTTAAAACATTCCAGAATTATCGAGAATATTTTCTAATTGTTGATTGTAGAATTTCTGTTGGTCTTTTATAGTAGGTCTGTTTGTTTTGTTATTAAAATATTTATCTCTGTTGATTTTTTATCTAATTTATGCATAATTGAAAAGGGTATTATTGATGGTAGATTTGCATAATTCTTTATTTTTAGAGAATAACAAGGTCTAAAATCTAAACCCTAGCTTTAATGAAAACACTGAACTCTGGGGACTTAGTATGACTGCTAAAATAATTACTTATCTCATAGCTTAAGGCCTAAGAAAGCTGGCAACCAGAACCCAATTTTGGTTCAAGTGTTCCCACATTATAATACCACTTGAATTCTCAACTTTGCCAGGTGTTATTAGGTTATTAGTTGAAAAAAGAAAGACAAAACAACAGAGGGATTCTGTGGATTGGAATAAGGAAATATAAAAAAGGATTCAGAAGACAGAAGATACCAAAGTCCCCCAATCCTGTATCCCTATCAGCCACCCTTGCGCATCATAACTAAAACAAGTGGGATGGCCATAGTCTGTCTCTAATATTCAACTGCTTGTTTATCGATGGCACTTTATTGTAAATCATGAAGTCAGACCATGAGGCTGGCCCTCCTCCAGTAAGTGGAGCACACATGTGTTGCAGTCTGGAGTGCTGAGGCAGAACAAGGGAACTGCTGTCCTCTAGCCATTTGCCTCAATTCCTCAGTAAGAGAAGTCAGTCATTTTGTTGACCCTGCAATGTGCTTGTCTAAAATGTCACATTTCCCAGCCTCTCCTGTAGTGGTTGATATCCTGCACAATTAAATACTGGTCAATGACATTTAAGCAGAATTCTTGATTCTAGGAATGCCTCCTAAGGATATTGAATTATTTAAGAGAGGAATTTTTTTGAGTTTTTTCTCTACTCTTTCTTCACAGACAAGACATCTGGAGCACCAACTGCCACCTTGGATTAAGACCTTGAGGATGAAAGTCACATGTTAACATGATAGAGACAAAAAGATAGATGAATCCTGGGTTCCTGATGATTACGGAGTTTCTATTTGGCTGGCCCTATATCATCTGCCTTCGGGGTAGTTCTATATGAAAACAAAAACAGCACTTAGCGTAATGGCTATGTCGCTGGAAACCCATGTAGTTGACTGTGGTTCGGGTCCCGGACCTGGTGGCTTAAACTCATGCCAGGCACATGTGCGTACATGCCCAAGATCCCGAGAGGAGAATGGAGGAGAAGGGATTGTGGTGTGGCCTTCTCCCCTGGGGGCGTAATTTCTCACTTACTGTCTCTCTGTCTTTCTCTGTCTTTCTGGTGAGTGAACGCACTATATAGCAAAATCCTCTCAAAAAAAAAAAAAAACACAAACAAATAAAGAAAAAACTAAACTAAAAACAAAAAACAGAACAAACACAACAAAAAATTGCTATGTTGTTAAGCTGCTGTTGTTGTGATTTTTCTGCTGTTAACAAATGAAACTAACATTACTTATTTACTAATCAAGACAGACCTCTTAAAGGACATAGTCGAAGAATAGGATAAGGAAGTATTAGTATGGGCAGAAAAAGCAATACAAGGGATGAGAAATTTTGTGAGAAGTACTGCTTCTACTACATGTTCTTTATGAAACAAACAAACCTAAGAAACCTGGGGAAAACATTTCTTATCCAATATTATTTTTCTTTCTGAAGAAGCATCATATGCAACAAATCCGTGGGGACTGATTAAAATAAGATATATCGGGAACCAGCAGTTAGCGTAATGGCTATGTCGCTGGACTCCCACGTAGTCGACCGCGGTTCGCGTCCCGGACCCGGTGGCTTAAAACTCACGCCGGGCGCATGTGCGTGCGTGCCCAAGATCCCAAGAGGAGAACGGGGGAGAAGGGATTGCAGCGTGACCCCCCCCCCTGCTCGCTTTCTGTCTCTATGTCTCTCTCTGCCTGTCTGGCGAGCACACGCACCCTATAGCGAAAACCTCTCCAAATAAATAAATAAATAAATAAGATACATCAAGTAACCAAGGATAATTTCAGAGTATACCTGTTAATGATGAGGATAATAATGATATTAACAAACATGCACGATTTAGGGGAGGTTGTTTTGTATGAGTATGTACTGTATGTTTGTGAAGAAATGTAATTAAATGATTTATCTTTATGAAGATGCTCCCAAATATCAATGTCAAAGATAGTTATTATGAAGTGTGCTTCCCTACATTTGGAGAAAACATAAAAGAAAAAATTGTTTTGTCATATGCAAATGTCAGCAGAGGTTAACTTGGCCTTACACTGCTCTACAGATGAAAGGGTAATTTCACTCACCGTGGCATTTTCAGACAGAAACCATTCTGGTATTGCAATATAGTGATTGGGAACTTTCCTTGGGATGTTCTGCCGATCCTCTGCCTCCCAGAGCAATGTGTTTAAGTCAGGAAAGTTGTTGTTGATGTCAATCCCATCATGGGTCCAGCGTCCCAGGGACCAGCCTCCTAGCTCCGAGCCCTGGGAGACAATTCAGAATGTGGAGACCCACACAGTGCACAGCAGCAATCCTGATTCCCTGCCCTACAGGATGCCTCATGTTCACCTCCACTTGTACTGCATCTCTAAGCATCTAGGTGCCCTTTAACCCAAAGATGGCACTCCAAAGAGAATACTGAAAAACCTACTCCTAATGTTTGGTGGGTGGTAGGTGGTCTAGACAAATCTCTGCAAATAAACACTGCAGGGATGCACACCTGCCTCATGGCAGTACTTGAAAAGCATTAGGTCCCTTGTTCCACACCTTCCTTCTCTTCTGCATTTGTCGGCTGAACCTTCGAGTAGTAATGAACCTAAAACTCCATCATCACAGTATCAACAGCACCATGTTAATATTAATGTATCTCCTGCCCTGCCCACAATTCTGGCTTATTATTTAGCATTGCAAATCCCTAACCAACTATTCACAAAAGGAAACATAATCAAAAGTCTGTATTCTAAAGCTGATGTTTTATAGATACCAATTTTTAAAATAAGGTTTCCAATTTTATTCCAGATATTGTGATATATTATTATGGCTCTGGAACATGACACTCTAAACATAATCCTATATTTATGTGTATGTATATTTTATCTATACTTATAATCCATACAAATTCTGTATTATAATTAGAACATGAAAGATAAACAACAGGTCAGAGTAATAAAAGTAACTATCCTCAGGGCACTGATGAAAGGATAAAGGTAATAATCATGCTATCATTAAGTGCTGAATCAATGTAAGGTGTTACTATCATATTCTATTGTTATCTTTGTATATATAGCAATATTATTCATGTTTACTTTTTCCCGTTTGTTGGCATGTCCCTCTCTCAGGGTCACCATAATTCTCAATTCATACATCTCGTGAGCTTTCCTGCTTCTGCAGAAAGACACCCAAAAAAGAAAGCTCCTCAAGTGAAACTTTACATACTGCATGGCCATGCAGACTCTGGATTTGAGGCCTAACTTCTGGTGATGAGTGAGTGGAGCTGATGCCATTACCCCTTCATAGGCCTTCTCATAGCCATCCGGGTTGAGGGAGGGCAGGAGGTGAATGCGGGTCTCCTCCACCAGCCGGACAATGCGTGTATTCCGGGCCAAGTACTCCTGGCACAGAAACTGCATCAGCAACAGAAGCAGCTCCCGGCCCAGCACCTCGTTGCCGTGGGCCCCTGCGATGTAGTGGAACTCGGGTTCACCTTTACTCAAGACAGAGAGAAACACAGGTTCACGGTGGAAGGTTCATTGCCAAACAGTGTTGATCCCTTTGTGTTAGAGGGAAAAATCTCTGAATAATATAAACTTCCAACGTTAGCCTTATGTGTTCCTTTAAATAGATCTCCAAAATTTTATCAGGACAGATAGTCAGGTATATAAGAAAATGCATAGAAAACTCTTGATGATGTAGCCACAGGGTAATAATTTTCATTCATTTCTATCAAGAATAGACACTGTTGGGACCAGCAGTTAGCATAATGGCTATGTCACAGGACTCCCACGTAGTCAACCGCGGTTCGCTTCCTGGACCTAGTGGCTTAAAATTCACGCTGGGCGCATGTGCGTGCGCGCCCAAGATCCTGAGAGGAGAATGAAGGAGAAGGGATTGCGGCGTGACCATCCCCCCGGGGGTGATTTCTCGCTTTCTATCTCTCTGTCTCTCTCTGTCTCTCTGGCGAGCACACGTGCCCTATAGCAAAAACCTCTAAAAAATAAATTTAAAAAAAAGAATACACACTGTAGAGTTTAAAATTTATAGGTAAAACACAAGCTATCGTCATAACTTTTTTCTTTTGAGAGGCAATTTTTTTCTTTTTTGTCCAAGTTTATTTACTGTATTTTCTTCATAAGAGAAAGCACACATAGAAGAAATAGAAGGACCAGCACTCTTGATAGGGTCTCATCACTCTGCAACCCCTCTCCCTAGCCCTCCAGCCAGTCAGGATCTCAGGTATATATGCATCCAGCGGGTCAGCATTTTTTTTTTTTTAATATCTTCCTACTAAGTTTTACACAACAAATAAATACAAGCAGGAAATAGTCCACCAAGTCAAACTGGTAGTGATACAATTCTGTAAAGGGGCCTGTCTTTGAATATTTCCTCTTTCAAAGCTCAGCTTTTGAAATGTTGGAAGTGCTATGGTTTCTTGTTTTATCTCCCATCACAAATTCTTGTGTTCAAAGCTAAGGCCCAAGGTGATGGTATTATATTAAGAGGTGCCGCTTTTCGCAGGAGATTAACTCATGAGAGTAAACGTGGGAGTAGAACTTAATGAGGGCTTAAGGAACTAGCTAGGCCTTTTTGCCTTTCTGCCTTCCATCTTGTGAGAACACAGAAAGAATGTGCCACTGGAGGAATTGGCCTTCACCAGACATCAGATGTACTGGCACCTTGACCTTGGACTTCCCAGCCGCCAGAAGTGTAAGGACTAAGTTTCTGTTGTTGATAAATTACCCAGTCTCAGGTACTCTGTAACAGCAGCCTAAACGAAGTAGACATGGGTTTATTAGTACTGAGCATGAGCTGTCAGCAGCTAACCTTCCCTCATTGGCAAAGTGACTGCTTCTGAGGAAATATGATTTTTACCAACAGATAAAACCTTTATCTTTTAAAAGAAACTCCTGAGAAGAATTCTTGAGATATTGGTGAACATTAAAATTAAATGAGTCAGATAAATATTTAAACCAAGTATCAGTGGATTTTTGAAGAGCTCCCAGATGTATCCAAAAGAAAACAAGAAAAGACCATCTGGATGGTAGGAATGCAGGTCAGGGAGTGACTGAATGGGAAACAGCTGAACAGGAAAGGCTTGAAAATAGAACTGGAATATTTTTAAAAAGAGAATCCTCTTTGATTTGAATCATTAATGATCAGCAAGGCAAGAATTTTTTCCTGGAAGAGGATTCTGTTCAGCCACTTTCTTCTTCAGCTGTTGTGATTGGTCTCAGAGGTAGAGAACACAGAATTAAATATGGTCTGTTTGAAAAACAAGAGGGTATTTCTAGCTTAAATAATTCTCTAGTAGTCATCATAAGATGAGAGGCTGACAGAACCAAAATGGGCAGAATCAGCCTATATGCGACAGTCCATGCATGAACAGGTCATGCCTTATTCTCAGAGGTACAGGATCTAGGAGGACAAAACATGAAGGGACCAATTATACTGACAGGCCCTCCTCACCAACTTCATGCTCTCCAGGGTGGTCAGAGATCTCCACAGCATACAGCTTCAGGCCCTGGTGGCTTTTGCCAATGTTGTAAATTCTGGTGATATTAGGGCACATTTCATTCACAACCTTCATCAGCTGAAAAACAAAATGAAATAAAGAGTGAGTAATAATGACTACTCACTAAAGAGGTAGAGATCCCAAGAAGACAGCCACCTCCTGCTCCCCTCCACAGCCCATCTGAACGCTCCTATCTTTCCCACACCCCAGCTGCTATCCTATCAGCCCAGAAAAAATCCATTATACCCCCACTTTTCATGGGATAATGCCTACCTTTCCTATATCCACTTGCTGTATTTAACCTTCTCTGAAGAGAAACTCCTGGCCATTGTCTCCACCTTAGCTCTGTTTTCTCAGTGTCCCTTGGTTGTGGTTCTCACCTCCTGCTATGGTAGGAATAATTGTGTCCCTTCAAAATTTTTATATTAAAACTTCCCTGCAATAGTATGAAGTGATGGCACCTTAAGGAGGTGATTAGGTCATGAGGGTGGGGCTCCTGTGAATGGAATTGATGTCATTGAAAAAGAGGCCTGAAGGAGCTTGTCTGCTGGTTCCACCATGTGAGGATGCAGTGAGAGGGCACCATCCATAATGTAGAGACAGCAGGCACAATCTGGGAAGATGTCTTCCCACTTTGTCTTAAACCTCTGGCCTCTAGACCTATGGGCAGTAAGTGTCTGTTTAAAAGCTATGCAGTTCATGGAGTTTTTAATTTTTACAGCAGCCCAAACAGACTAACACACCTTCCTCAGTTCTGGTTATTCATCACCTCCCAGGTTGTGGTAATCACCTTCCTCAGTTGTGGTCATTGAGTTTTTACTTTGATTTTCTATTGTTTTATTGTCCCCTTAACTAGACTTCAGATCCTTGAGAAGACAGATTGAGCCTTTTATTTCAGGCCTTTAGCTGCTCAAATAAATATTTCTAACTAAATATCATGTTTTTCATAATTTAGTGCTCATCTACATATCAGGCTGAAGAAACAGATACAGCCCCTGCCCTCCTGGAGCTTACAGTGTAGCAATGGCAGGGAGGCATGCAATGGCCCAGTTCACTGGTGCTAAGTGAGGAGGAGAGAGTAGAGTGGCCATGGTAACAGGAACCATGGGGTTAAATGATGAGAAAGGCGAGCTTCATCAGGGAAGTGAAATAAACGTGCTGTTTTCTGAATTTTGCTTTTGAAGTTAGCTTGTCAGACTGACAGCTTTGGTCTGCAAGAATGAGACAAGCTGCCAGGAGGTAACTAGTACTCCGCTAGTCAGAGGAGAACAAGTTTCCCTCCAGGGTGGAAGACCAGAGACACTGTCTTCCCAGAGGCTGCTTTGTCTCACATCACAAACAAGTTCCTGTGAGTCCTAAGTCGCTTGGATTTGCTGAGTTACATTTGTATAGCAATTTCCAAGTGAAAGAAGATTTAACTCAGAGAACATCTGTCTATTTACTCACTGTTTATTGAAGAGCCCCCTCCTCACCAGGCACAGATGAGGTACATGAGGCACAGATGGGGAGCTAGACTTCAAGACAGTGTGTTAAAGACCAGGAAGGGATATCCAGAGGAGGGATATCTTAGCCAGGGTGGTGGGTGAGCAGAAGTCCACTACAGAGGGCCTCAACCTTTTGAAAGATGAGTTGGAGTTGAGTTGGTAGAAAACAGAAAGCCATGGCCCAAGAGAGACAGAAGGATGGTATAAACCTGAACGTATGCTAAGAGTCTTCCAAAATATTCCTGATCAATCAGGTTATTCATAAAATATCCTTGTAAATTATAAATGAACAAATCAGTTACAAATGTTATGGTGGGTTAAAATTTATTATAAGTAGAACATTTATATTATATAGAATTTATGATGTAGTGCAGTTATACTGTTGTGTGCTTTATTTTCCTTTCATAACACAGCATTCTGTAATGACGAGACAGAATGGGTTTAAGGAGCATTGACGAGCATTTCTACAGGAGTAGAAAGATTTATTGTAACTATAGCTTGACTTTTATGACACACCTATGAAGGTTGGCAAGTGCAACCTTGGTCAGAAATTCGGGGTCTAATTCTGTCACCTTAGTGGAAAACATGTTTCCCTTTGTGACTATTTGCTTTGTGTTATAATATTTAGGTAAGAGAAATCTGGCTCCAAAGGATTCTTTTTCACAAAAGGTCAAAGAAGCAGAACTCTACCATATATGGAAAAACAACATAAAAAGGACACATAGCTTCACCTGTCACCATAAGGATAACAGCTGCAGGGATGGAATGAAGGCACATATAATGGCACCACATTTTCATAAAAGTCACAGTAACAATGTCACTAATAGTGTTAACAAGAACAGGAAGCATATGTCTTGTTTCTCTTCTGAATCTCACAATCATAACCAGCACGGGAAGGAGATGAGGCAGAGCTGATTGTCTCCATTCTACAGATATAGAGACTGAGGCTCAGAAAGACATTGAGTAATTTAGCCTGGGACACCCAGCTGATAGTAGATGGAGCCAGGACCTTGAACTCTTAGAGCCCTTCCTGCACCCCTCTCTGTTCTTAAAGGTGCAATAAAGCAGTAAGAGTCAGCCCATGTCTGTTGCTGGTTTTGTCACTGCACATTGTGACCATTCTGAAAGAAGGCCACAGTACATGACCCTGTGAGGCCACATGTACCAGTCTTGGCTGATGCACAGTCATTATCAGCTATCAGCATTGATCTCAGCAAATCCTGATTGGCAGGTGATCTGCCGTCTTACATTCCAATCAATGACTAGTTCTGCAGACAGAGAGCCAGGCAGTTCATTACTAACTAGGCAATGAATGCAAGTGATCAGCACAGGTCTGGCTGTCCTTCACTATTTATCTGACTTCCCTTTCAATTAACTGAAGAAATGTGCTGCTAATGCTAGAGATCATAACCTTGACATTGGAAGAAGACGAACACCATCTTCCTTTGGGATGCACACTCAGTCATAGATACAGAAAGACCCTTAGGCAGTGAGTCATCAGAGTCATCCTGTCATACTCTCTCCATCATTACAGTGTTTTTATACTAGCCACACTTTGTCTCCAATGGTGTGGTGCTGGTTAATAAATAAATTGCATGGCATTGTGTCATGGTATTACAAGCATCTTTCCCTCGTGAACACACAGACATCTGAAGAAATTTTCTTTCTTTTTTTTTTTAAAGTGTATTAATTTATTTCTTCCATGTGGGTAGGGAGGAAGACAGAGGGAGAAAGAAGGCACTCCAACAGGGCCATCATCTGTAATCCACCCACAGCAAAGCATGAGCCTATGCATTTGCCCAGCATACTCAGGAAGGCCTAGGGATGCAAATCCACGACCTTTTCCATGAGGGTTCTGTTGTGTTACCACTGTGACACCACCTGGCTCTTAAGAATATTTGTCTTCAAGAAGGTTCTTTTCCATACAGTAGCCCCCTGGAATGCCAGGAAGCATCTCTCTGGTGACTACAAGCATAAACAAGGATATAGATGGTGATCCACCCTGCTCTTCCCAGTAAGGAACCAAGAGCATCACCAGGAAAGAGGTTCTCCATTTAAATGCAGCTCTTTCTTATAAGATTGCTTATTTCTAAAAAGTTAAATTTATTTTGGAGTTTGGGTCTTTGTGTAAATGTTTGGGTCTTAATGGTTAAAGAGAATAAGGAAGATCTTTTTTATTGTGGCCCCAAGCGTCCATTCTCATCAAGGGTAAGGAAATTGGTTCTTTGGGGTCTACAAAAATCTTAACATATTATAATACTTTGTGCTCCTTTAAAATTCAACTCTACCTGGGAAAATCTCATTACTTAGAATTTCATATAAAGGAGGGAAGGCTATTTAAGAAGAAAAATCTAAAAAGTTCCTTAAAAGGGACAATGAAAAGATTGAGAAACATCACTCTAGAGCAGGGGTCAGCAACTCTTAGGCTGTGGACCAGGGGCACCTGTGACTTGTTGACCCATTCCTTCCTCTTGCCTCCCATGTGCAGCAGAAGTAAGTGGAGGGTGAGTGAATGAGGCTTCATTTGTGTTTGCAGCCACTCCCTGTCACTTGCACTGCTGTCTGGGCTCTGCCTCCTATCAGATCCGTGGTGGGACTGGATTCCCAAGGAAGCACAAACTCTATTCCTGTCTGATTGTTTCATTGCATATTGCAACGTGGTAGTGGTAGAAATGGGGTGCACAGTGGAAATAGTGTGCTTGAGTCATGCTGGAACCAACCTTCCCCACCGCCCCACCCCTGCTCCTGTCTGTAGAGAGATTGTCTTCCATTATGCCAGTCACTGGTGCTGGGAAAGTTGAGAACCTTGTTCTAGAGAGTGCCAGGGTCCGCAAGACTTGTAGCTTCTTCAAGACTCTGTTTTCTCAACTGTGATAGGAATAAACATTATATCATCATCCTGGTATCTACTGAATTCTAGGTTCTTCTACTTCCCATTTTTACTGAGAGAAAAAGAAAAAAAAAAAAAAACCTCTTCTCTAATAATTCAATTTCTGACAATATATGAGAAGAAAATTATTTCTGAAGAATGGCAAAATTATATGTGCGATCATACTTGCTGTGGCATACTTTCTCGTTTGTCAGTTTTCATTGAAGTTTGGAGATGTTCAAATGCTCCAGAGCAAGAGAAAAGCTGAGAAAACTATGATATATCCACTCATCAGGATACTGCAGAGTTACAATTATTATTATAAAGACAGCATGGAAAATGGCCAATGATCTCATGTTAACTGAGACACGCAAAAGTGTGTTTGATCATAGTGATATGGATTCTGTTAGTGGCAGAGACCATACAGTCAACATAGGCAGAACATAAAGGAGCTGCCTCTCATGTCTAAGCAAGGCTTGGCTGAGAAGAGCTTCAGGCAGAGACCACAGCTACGAACTCAAGGTTTCAACTGTGTTTGTTGTACTGGTTTGTGCTCAATTTCTCTGCCATGAGCTTTACTGTCATTACAGTACCCCATAAGGGCAAAATAATATGCCCAGCCTTACTGTAACTTTTACAATAATCCTGAAGGAATGTGGACCCCTAAGGCAGCGGTGAATGGGAATTATTTCCATGGGACTCACCCCACCTGCCTGGAAAATGTC